TTCTAATAGATTAGTAAAACATGATTTCCCTTTACAGAAACCATGTTGACTTTTGCCCAACAAATTATGTTCTTCTGTGTCTGACAATTTTATTCTTTAGTATTGTTTCAACTAATTTGCCCGGTACTGACGTTAGACTTACCGGTCTGTAATTACTAGGATCACCTCTAGAGCCCTTTTTAAATATTGGCTTTATGTTAGCTGTCTTCCAGTCCTTGGGCACAGAAGCTGATTTCAAGGATAGGTTACAAACCATAGTCAACAGTTCCGCAATTTCACATCTGAGTTCTTTCAGAACTCTTGGGTGAATGCCTTCTGGTCCCAGTGACTTGTTACTGTTAAGTTTATCAATTAATTCCAAAACCTCTGCTAATGATACTTCAACCTGTGACAAGTCCTCTGATTTGTCACCTACAAAGGATGGGTCAGGCTTGGAAATCTCCCTAACATCCTCAGCCGTGAAGACTGAAGCAAAGAATTTAATTTCTCTGCAATGACTTTATCGTATTTTATGTGCTCCTTTTGTATGTCGATCGTCCAGGGGCCCCACTGGTTGTTAGCAGGCTTCCTGCTTCTGATATACTTAAAAAACATTTTGTATTACTTTTTGAGTTTCTGGCTAGATGTTCTTCAAACTCCTTTTTGGCTTTTTTTATTACATTTTTACACTTAATTTGGCTGTGTTTATGCTCCTTTCTATTTCTCTCACTAGGATTTGACTTCCACTTTTTAAAAGATGTCTTTTTATTTCTCACTGCTTCTTTTACATGGTTAAGCCAAGCCACAGTGGCTCTTTTTTAGTTCTACTATTTTTTTTAATTTGGGGTATACTTTTAAGTTGGGCCTCTATTATGGTGTCTTTGTAAAGTATCCATGCAGCTTGCAGGGATTTTACTTTAGCCACTGTACCTTTTATTTCTATTTAACTAACCTTCTCATTTTTTCATAGTTCCCCTTTTTGAAATTAAATGAAAACATATAAATGAATTAAGGAATTGCAAAATAAAGAGAAGATGCACTTATTTAAAATACAATTGTTTTCAGTGTATGTTCAGTTGAAGCAGGGTCTGAAATCCAAATTGTTAATCCCAAATATCAAGGAAACTAGAAAGGGGAAACACACTTAGCTATGCTCTATTCTTGTCATATCCTTTCCCCTGAGAGTTATATTCACTGATGAAAGTAGTCCTGTTTCCCTCCATTCCAGTGGAACAATTCACTTGATAGATTATTTGTGTAACAAACATTTGAAGGAATGGGTTCTTTGCATTTTTGTTTTCTTTCTTATTTCAAAGAAAAAAAATATTTTCTGTGATAAATATTCCAGGCTGACAAATATTAATTTTGGGTAAGTTGCACATGAAAATTGTGTCTTGCTAACTTTGTTTTTATTCATGGGGTTGTAACTTGCATTAAAAATAGCAACATAAATCTTTAAAGAAATGAAACAAGGAAAGTATTCTTTAGTTGTTCATTAAATAAACTTAATTAAATATTCATTTGCATTTTCTTTATTTATAAACATGAACTCATCTATTGTAGTTACCATACACTCCCAGCTAGCATGGATATAAATAGCAACATAAATTCTGAGGCATGGCTTAAGCAAATAGCGTATAGACACTACATAGCTTTTTACATGCCAAATAAATGATTCTCGTGTCTACACTGCTATGTTTAGGAGTGTAATGTTCTACCACCAAAGCCTTTCTCCACTCTACAGCCTTTCACTGTGGCCCAGTGACTGGTGTGGCTCTAGTCTGCTTTTCACATGCCTGTACTTTACACACCACCCTAAGTATAGACAGAGCCTATCTTCTTATATCACAAGTTTCACAGACAATAGCATCTAGGTGCTTGTGGAGTGGGTGACATCTAAAAGTGGGAGACAAAAGGGACAAGGGACAAAATACTCAGCCAGCAGACAGAAGTGAGTGGTTAACATTTTCATAAGTGCTTAAGTGACTTAGAAGTCTAAGCCCCATTTTTTTAAAGTAACTTGGGCAGTGAGGGACAGATTTCAAAGAGATTTTGGTTTCCAAAGGTGCAGATGGTGGAATTTACAAAAACATCTCAGTGCCTACCTCCCATTGGATTTCAGGTGCTTTTGAAAATATTACCCTAGTATCTGATGCCAATCAGTGAAAAGTTAGATACAGAATGGCAGAGCAGAACAAATAGCCAGTTAAAAGCTCTTTTCTATAACATTAAGCCACTCCATAGCAGAAATTGAACTCAGCAGAGCAGCTCGCACTAGACCTCAGAAAGATAGTTTTGGTCCATAGATGATGTTAGTTTGATTATGTCCACAAAAGGGAAGGCCTGGGGGGTCCCAACTCAGGGGTGGGCTGCCTGGTGGGCTGTTCCAGAGCCACAGACTCCAGTCCAGATGCCAAGACAGTCAAAGAGCCAGGCAGGCAAGCTGGCTGGAAACCAGGCAAGTTTCTGTCAGAACCTTGCTTGGTTTCCAGAGAAACGGTGTTGAAATATCTTTGGGATATTTCAAATTCCATGACTCATTACATTTAAGAAAAAAATCCTTGTATGAATTTTTCTAACTATTACATCTGTAAAGATTTTCACCATATAAAACCCTAATCCTTGTCCTGTTGAAGTCAGAGCACATTTTTCCACTGAGCTCTAATTGCGGAGCCATTAATCCACATAATATGGTTGCTGAAACAGACTAATCTAGAAATTTCTTCCAAGTCCTTTAGCCAGTTACTCTGTATGGAAGGCAGCAGATGACGGCAGTGACCAGGGAAACAATCTATGCCATTAACGGGACAGAAAGAAAAGGTATCCCCAGCAACAACAAGTGACGGTGTCAAGTGACCGGTGAAATTAAATGTCTGTTAAGCATCTCTCTACCTGCATTTCAAATCTATGTACAAAAGTTTCTAAAGGGTCAACAAACAAAAAAAACCCCACACATAATAAATGTATTTACACTTATGTGAAAAATTCATACCTTGAAGAGTTAAGACAGGCTGATGAAGAACTGCTATAACCCAGTGGAATGCGCCATAATGAGACAGATTTTAGAACAACCAAAACATAATGTACTTTAATTCTGAAGCACTTTAGCTATGGGTTAAGCTTACTCACACTGAAGTCAATGGCAATATTTCCATTGACGTTAGTCAACCGGGATTTGGCCCTAATACTGTAGTTTGATGTCTAATCCATATCACAGTTAGATTTTTTTGGCACAAATCTACCTGGTATGCAAAAGCATGATATGAAAAAGGGGTGTTTTGTTTGCACACACGGGCTGGAAAACTGACTTGGAATGAATTGTATAACAAAGAAGCCGGCAGTAGGGAATCTGAGATAAACTAAGTTTTCCTTCCAAAATTTTGTATCAAAAGGAGAAGGTTAATAATGATTTAAGATTTGTGATTTAAGACTAAAAATAAAGGAAGAAATCAAAAGTGCAAGCTGGCTAAAAAGCACTAGTTTTATACAAGACTATTTAAAAGCACAGCTGAAAAACTACAGTTACTCATTTTCCACTGTTAAAAATGTGTTTTTAATGGGAACAACAGTGACTTGTGAAACTTGATACTGTGAAATGTAATAGAGGAAAAAAAATAAAGTAGAAATGTGAATTATAAAACCTCATGTATTATGTACACAAATGTACACTCATTGCCTTTCGTTGATTAACAGTACCTTTTGCACAAACTGGTTAAAAAGTAGTAGTTTAGTGTCTTAAAACATTGCAGTGTTAAAAGGAAGTTTCATAGATAATGAAATCTAAATTCCTTACTTGATCACATTAAAATTCCTTTGCAAAGCCTATCTGTAGCTCAGTTTTTGTACGTGTCAAACCTTCAGTTTTTGTACATGTCAAACTCCTTCTGAATGCATTAGGAGTTTTTAGGCTTCTATTCAATAACACACTTAAATGTGTGCTTAGCTTTAATCACATGCTTAACTCCATTCCAATTTAGCAAAGCCCTTACATATGCATTTGACTTCAAAGAGACTTAAGAATCTTCTTAGGGTTAAGCACATACTTTAGTGTTTTTCTGAATCGGGACCTTAAGGAATGCAGGACTAAGAATATGAAGAAGAAAATATTAGAGTGTAGGTTCAAAAGCTAAGATTCCCATTGGCTTCAGCTGGCTAGAAAGACTCCCACCAATTTCTACTGATTTTAGATCAAGCCTTAATCCCCCTCTCCACTTATGCCAGCGTAGAACCATGTACCCCTGGTAGAGTAGAGATAACAAGATCCATTTGCTTCCATGAGAAGGAGTCGCAATTCTGCCTGGCCACTACTTGGGTCTAGCACAAGTACATTGCGAAGTGTTTGCGTGTGTGAAACGGAGTCTCGTTGACAGACTGGATCTTGGCCTATCTTTACAAACTCAATAATTTGGTATTACCAAAACAACTGTGCAATATGTGAGTTAGCGCAGTACCTGTGAAAGGCACCTGTAGTAGTGCAATTTTGTCCGTGCTACCCTACCAATGTATGTCAACCAGGGAATGAAGGGATGGGAGAGTAATTCAGATTCTCATTCTGTCTTTAATCTCTCTCCTGAGACTGTCAAGAAGGGTACCAATTAACACAAAGTGGGCTGGTAGCTTTTCTGACAAGAATACTATTCCAACCAGAAATAGAAAAATCATCATCTCTGTTTGTGAACATTTTTGGTCATCATTGACCATTGATTATAGCCGGCATGGAATCAATGACCTACAAGTAGAAGGATCTACCACCTTATTAATTCCCTGAACCAACTTGCCCTTCCCTATCCTTCCCCAATCCTTTCCTTCCCTTCCCCCACCACCTCTGGACTATACATCCCTGATTGTGCTGTGTATGAGAATCTGTACTTGTCAGAAAGAAAAAAACCTCTCATTAACCAATAATGCCATTTTCACCTGGAAAGAAGCAGTCCAAACATTACAAAATAGTTGCTCTCAGATGGCAGATACCATTGACCCAAAAGGGGTCTTGCATAACATGAAAAATGAAAACTTCTTACCCTAATAAAGAGGATCTTCTCTCCAACTCTGTACCGTCCTTGTGAAAGACGCTCCACACAGAATTTATTGGGGCATTTACAAGGAGGATCTTCAGAAATGTGTTTGACCTGAAAAACAAGTAATTGTATCTTTTTAATAGAGTGCATCAATAGCAAACTGTTCAAAAGAGCATCATCAAAAGTTATCATTATGACAAATATTGCTTTACTAACACCTCTTCAAGCTTTTAATTAAGGCACTATTCCTGAAATTCTCTTATTTTTCCCCCCTCAACAATAATGTTTTTAATAGTTTGGCACTGAGTGACTTTTTAAGACGTTGATTTCAATACCACAACTGCTACTAATGGGCAAAATCATGTAATCTTTACTCAGTTTCTGTCTGGTCCAGAGGGAATTATCTCAGTGCAGTCAATGGGATTTTTTGCTGAGTTAAGAATGAGTAAACACTAAATGAAAACTTCAGGACTTGGCACCTTAGGTACATATAGAGACTTGAGCCAAATAGTAATAAACTTCATATAGCAGTCAGGTGTTGGCAACTCATGCCCGCTCTTACCTATTGTGTGTAAGGTAAACCAAAAATCTGTGATTCATGGTTTTTTCAGGGCCAATTTTTTCTCAGTATGCAGAATTTCTGGAATAGATTGGAGATCCATAGGAAAGACCCTATGTATCTTAAAATATATGCAGAGACCCCCTTTGTGTCAGCATCTTCTGTTATCATCTTGCAATGGCAACATAGATGATGTGTCCCTCCCTTTGGATAACAGACAAAATTTAGATGGACCCAAGGATTGCTCCATAATTTCTACTTGAAATCTACAGATACTTTCAGTGGTAACCTATGTTCTTACCCATTACAACATTAAAATGAAAAATAAACACAACAGCAGTGTTTTCAAGCATCTGTGAAATCCAAGACTATGGAGATTCCCAAATCAAAAGGGAATTCCCAGATGTGGAAAGAGAGTAGGGGCCAGCAATGCTTTCAGACTTACCATTTGCCATGGAATTGCGCTGCATAACAGAGTGATGAACTTAGCCCTCACTTTTGATTAGAGGGTGATGGCATGCGAATGGAATTGAACGCTACAGATTTTTGGAGCGTGTTTTACACTTTTAAAAACATCTCACATGAAAACTAAAGGAAGTCCATATATTGGAGTCCTGAGTATATCTGATACAAAACAGGGGGAGGGCTTTCCGTACTGATAAATTTAACATTATTTTAGCTTAGAGATAGGGGACTGATTTCCCACTATCCTCACCTTTGATAGCCATTTACATCCTTGTAAAACACTATGCCCCAGCCATGAGCATGGACCCAAGCTAAACTCAATGCCATTCAGAAAAGTGGCAGGGAAAAAGGGCCATTTGTGTCCCTTTTAGCCTCAGCATTGAGATATTCATCAGTGCAGCCACACAGCTGAGGTAGAGGATGTGATGCTACACGCTAGTGATTGCCCATTAGCCAACTGAGGGCTGTTATAGCCGGGTGTGAAATTGCCTGAGGTCAATTACTGGACCCCACAAACCCAAGGATCAGGGATGAACAAGGGCTGCTTTGAAAGCTCCTCATGCCCTATTCCTCATCTATATGAGCCAAATTTCAGCCCCAACTGAGAATTCATGCTTGAATAGAATACCCGTGACATTAATATTTAGTAGATGTGTATTCTGAACTTTTAGGTGATCTTAAAATAGCACAACCATCAATGCCAAAGAGCAGATCTGGTTGAGTGAACACTAAATTGACATTCAAGTAGCACTTCCGTTAAGAAACAACATTGACAAGAGCATGAAGGCAATCATTTCCACATACTGCTGCTCTCCTAGATGAAAGCTGACCTGATGTATTGATGTCAAATGAAACAAAATGCAGGAGGCACTTTCAAAAGATTTTGGCCATTTCCTATAACACTCAAGAGACCTTTTCAGATTCAGTTTGTAAGCTAAGGCCCCATAAAAAGAGGCCAAGAACAGAATGAAAGCTGCTAGAATAACTTACTAATGAAAATTTGAATAACACTGTATTAGACAGGAAAAGGCCATGGTCACGGTCATACACTGGGGCTCTTAAGTATTTCGGTTGTCTGACAAAAATATAGGGACAGATCTACTATACAGAATATAAGGTTTTAGCTACCTGAGCAGGGGGAATCCTCTAGTAGCCAGGTCTCCCACCTTTAGGGTTGGGTTGTTTGGGGTAAGTAGCATAGAGCAGCTCAGTGTTGAGGAGAGTCAAAGCCAATAGATTTACCCCAAGTGTAAAACTGGTAAAAACTAGATGATAATTGGCACTTGCCATTGCTGCCTCTACAACCTCATTGGCCTGAAGGGCATAAAAGTACAGGTTGGGCCTCCATGGTCCAGCACCCTTGGGACCTGACCGGTCCCAAATGAGGGAATTTGCTGGATCAGGGAAAGCCTCCCAGGACTCTGCCCCTCCCTCCTACTGAGAATCTGCTCCAGCCCTGCTTCTAGAGGGCTTGGCTCTGGTCTGCTTCTACCAGCTGGCTGTGGCTTTCTGGGGATGGAGTTTCCCATCCACCATGGCCTCCCGACCTGCCCCTTCTGTCCCGCTTGTCTGGGGCTTCCTGGGGATGGGGCTCTATGGCTGCCTTGCTAGGTTGGAGCTCCGTGGCTGCCCGGCTGCTGTCACACCCAGCCGAGGCTTCCCATGGGCGGGGCTCCACAGTTGCCCCACTGTGTGTGTGTCCAGCTGGAGCTCCCCAAAATGGAGCCCACCAGTCCCAATGGTGGGGCTCTCCCGCTGCTAGACTCCCAACTGGCTCGCACTCCTGGGCACCGGGGCACTCTAGTCTGCTGGACCACAGATGTTGTTGGGTCAGAGAGTCACGGATTTAGGAGGCTAACCCTGTATTATTGACTGGCATTTAAAAACCAAATATGGAAGTAGAGGGCAAAATTAAACCGCATGTGTTTGTGTCTTAATTGTGTGAGCAATGCCACTCGTTGATAGTGGGTGAGTCTGGGGGCAGTGAGGCTCAGGAATTTAACTGGATAAATTCAACTCTTTCTTACCCCAGTGCTTTTTAAATTAAAGATAGGTAGAGACAGCCTTCATACTCTCTTCTCTGTTCCCCTGAGATATATAGTCACCATTATAAACATACATTCTCCACAATTCTCTTAGAGAAGCAATGAATGCATTTGCCTAGTTAATGATGTCTCAAAATATAAAAGTTAAATGTAACTTATTTACATTTTAAAAGTATATTTTTCATGAAAAGAATGAACACTATATTCCACCTGCTCACTGTAACACAAAAGTAGCACATGGGTTTTTCAAGAAGCACTTTGAACTCCCAGGTGGCCCATCTACCATGTGACAAGGCAGTTACTATAGTGACTGTTTCTTTTTATAGAATACAATGTAACTTCTTAGTTAACCTCTTCATTGCCTCAAAATATCTCTTTCCTCTGATTCCAGCTGTCTCAAAGTGACTCCCTCTAGTGGCACGTAACTGAGAAATGATCACTGGAGTATGGTGTAAAGCGCTTAATAAATTGAAAAGCAAGGTATTTTCATTAGTAATAGTGTGTGTGTGGGGGGGGAGGAGCCTAATTTGCCCTTGTTTTATGCCACAAGAGATATTCAGAAGTAGAGCAGAAAAAGATGTTCAGATAACTCAGAAGTGGCCCTTAGTAAGAGCTCCAGCACTCCAGAGCAGGGCCAAATTGATGATTTCCACTATCCACTAAAATTCCACAAACTGCAGATGCAAATAATTGTGGAAATAAGTGATGTTAACTGTAGGTGCTTGTAGACCATGTAGTTAGACCTCTGAGGCTATGTCTAGACTACAAGCCTCTTTCGAAAGAGACTTTTTCGAATGATACTTTCGAAAAAGCCTCTTTCGAAAAAGAGCATCTAGTCTACAACCAGTACTTTTGAAAAAGCAAGCCTCTTTTTCGAAAGAGAGCACCCAAGCAGTCTGGATGCTCTCTTTTGAAAAAGCACAGTTTGCATTACATAGCACCTTTTTTTTTCAAAAGAGCACTTTCGAAAAAAGGTGTTTTCCTTTGTAAAACGAGGTTTTCCTCAGTCAAAAAAACTGCAGCATTCTTTCAATTTACTTTAAAAAAAAACACGGCAGCAGTCTAGATGCAGGGGAAGTTTTTTTTTTTTTTTAAAAGGCCACTTTAAAAAAAAATACCTGTAGTCTAGACACACCCTAAATGTGGTGAGATGTCAAATTCAGGCCCTTATTTCCTGTGTGTGTCAGAATGTGACAGAATGATGTTAGTTTATTTGTTGTCAATATCTCATGGTAAGAAGCTTGTCCAAACACACTTACAGCATCATCCAACAGTTTTCCTGTGCTCTTTTTCCCAGGAGACTTTGTTGGGGAAGGTGAAGGAGATGGAAGAGGGGCTGAAAGTATTTCCTCTTGTTCAATCTCTTTCTCCAGCTTTATTAACCCTGGAGGTTCCACACCAAACCTTTTGAAAATATGCAAACAAATTACCAATGCTTGCAAAGAATTTCATATGTTAAAAGATAACGATTCATAAGTTTCATACATACACTGCCGTGCAACATAGAATTGTTAAATATACTAATGAAGGAACGAGTACATGATATATTATTGTAATTGTTACCATCACAAACAATATGCAGGTTGAAATAAAAATAGCATCTCTCATTTTAACAAACTGGCAATAAATTAACTTACTCTTCAGATTGTTTTTTGTTAGAAAATATCTATAAGTATATGCTATAGTATTTGGTATGTGATAGACAAATCCCAAAAATGGTTTTAATATGAAAGTTCCCTTCAGAAAATATCTGCTTCACATTTCACCATCCTCTAAGATTTTTTGTAGGAATTATGAAAACTTAAGTATTTTCACAATAAATCTACGATAAAAGATTAATCTATTAAACCTGAGCATATCCCACTATAATAGGGATGAGTGAATGGAGACAGATTAAGGCCACCATTTTTCAATAGTGGCCACTGATTTTATACACCTCAATTTTTGGCAGTGCAACTCTTGAATCAGTGGGTTATATTTTTGGAATCTATTTTAAGAATGTCATAGTACTCACTGCTACAGTTGAAGTGAATCTTTGAAAATCTGTCTTAAAGTCTCTCAAGCTTGGTGCTCAAAAAATTAAGGCACCCAAAAGCAGTGGCTACTTTTACAAGTTTGGTTGTAAATTATTTGTTCAGTGTTATAAAACCAGTGAGTTGCAGAGCTCAGAACAGAATCCCAGAGTCCTGAGACCAGCTTCACAGAACCACTGAGCTACACTTGATCTCTGAACAAGACAAGAAAAATCTCTTTTTATATGCTAATTGCCTTTTAAAGACTACTATGCTAATTATAGTTTTTCACATCAAACTAATTCTATAATGAAAATATATATATTGTATGTATCATGTAGGGTCAACTTCAGAACCAGGCTGATTTACCCCAGCTGAAAACCCAGCCACTAAAGTTTTGTACTAAAAATACACAGCAATAAAAACAAACATTCTCATAGAAGTTAAAATTATGCAAGCAAAGGGCATAAGTGTATATATTGGACCTTGCATTTTTCATTACAAACTACAAGCTAATCACACTTCTGCATTGTAAATTAATACCCAGAAAATTAAGAACGAAATCTGTGCTTGTATTGGCTGCTAAATGGTGCAGTCTGCCTAATGAAAAGTCAGCCAACATTGGAGCGAACGCTTATATACAATCCATTTACTTCCTGTCTGTCTGCAGATGCTGACAGGCTGTAAATCATTAAATTCCCCCTGGGTTCTAAGTCTACACCTGCATGGGGCCTTACTCATCAAATAAACCTTTTCCACTCACAATTATGCTGCTTCTTTGCTTCTTCTGCCCACAGATTCTATCATTACAAGAGGCAGCATATAAATATAAATAGCAAGCTTCTTTCCATTAATCAGCTGAAATTAAATTTAAACATATAGCCACTAAGTATTGCATCATGATCACACAGATTAATTAGAAGGCTGAATTGACAAAGGAATCCTTCTGCTCATCTCTCAGTGATTTGCCTTGCAAAAAATGGTGCAAGCCTGTTTTGAGAACTATGTTGGGAATTTCCTTCTCTATTCTGTTCTAGCCTGTCTTCTCCATAAGTACAAATAGAGCAGCATCAGACTGTAAAATGATCTCGGATAGACTTCTAAAAGTACCACTTCCTATTTTTCCCAAGGAAAAATTAAGTACAATACCAGAAAGATACTGTAACTTCTCAACAGACTATAATTTTCAAACAAAAGACATCTGGGGGTTTATTTAAAAAAAACCAAAGCCTTTTACAGCCACGTAAGAAGAACTGAAGAATTCCAAATCTTTTCGGAGAGCAGACAGATTAGCTATTGTATGTCATATCACCAAAAAAGCAACACAGATATATTTGTACCTAATTCGCTTTCTGGAATGTAAGAATGCTGTAAGACTATTTTGCAAATATGAAGAGATGGATTCTGCTTCCTTTTATGCTCAGTGTGATTCTAATGATTTCACTGAAGCTACTTCTACTTTACAACAGTGTGAAATATGAATCAGACATGCATAATCCCACGGATTGCAATGGAACTGTATAGGCTAAAGTCAGTACTGCATTTACGCCATAGGATTAATCAGTCTTTCATAAAGACTGTCAATGCACTCCTATGGGATCAGTCAGTACTGATATAAAGTAGTGTAGCTCCACTGAAGTTAACAGAGTAAGCAAAAGGGTCCTTCAGCAGCAAAATAAGTAATCTGAAAGTCTCCTGAGAAACTCCCTCAGACAAATTCAGCTGTCAGTTACAGTCTGGTGTAATTCCACCGATGTCAACAGTTACTCTAAATTCACGTTGTTTTAAATGAAATCAGATCTCTTCTCTATTTCTTCTCTATTCCAGTTATGATTGAAAATAAAAACTCTAATCTTTACAAAATCTTAAAATGTTTATTTCTAGAAAGAGTGACAATTTAACAGGATGAAGGGAAGGTTTTATTTTTTTCTCCCCAAAATAACTGTACTATCTACCCCTCAATAAAGGCCTGATCCAACTTCCATTCAAATTAGCTGTAAGACAACATTGACTTGATGAGGAGTTCAATTAGGCATTTAACACTGAAATCTGAGAGAATGGTTTTGAGAATTTGGTAAGTGATTTTTAATGGTGAATGGATAATCTCCCCAAATTCCTCCTCAAGCTTTTGAAGGACAAAGAAAAAAAAAGTACTTAACTGTTCAGGGTCTCTTCCTTTTCTAGTTCCTTAGGACTCCGTAAAGGGTCCTTTTTAATGTTATACCTTTGAGGTTTCTGTTCTGAAAATCAGGCCCCACAGACTGTTAGTACAGTTAGTTTGCCCTTCGGGGTGAACAGGGCTTCAAAAAGCAAGAAAGACGTCTGTTCAACATCTTATTGTTCCTCATGGGTAAGTTGCAGCAACAACTGTAGCAATGATCAGTTTATTAAAATGCTTTTCTTTGTTAAATCAAGCCAACATCGAAAACAGAACTTATTCTAGCCACTCTTGTCTCCCACGTAGCTCAGATTTTAGCATTTAAAGCAAGGATGCCATTAGATATACGTCATTTAAATGACATAACTCTGTTGTGTTATCCCTTCCTGTGTTTCTTGTGCATCCTGAAAACTTACTAGACTGTGGAGGATGTGAAAATCCCATACTGGGACAGGATTTATTTTAGGGGAGATGAAAAGGAATACGTCAAAATGAGAAGGAATTCCCTGTGATTCTGCTCCCATGAGCCATACATGATGGGGTATATAAATCCCACAATGAAAGGGAAGAGGCTTTGGAAGTTCTCTATGTTAACATAAACCCATCCCTTAGCCCTAGCAATCAAGCATGATAGAGAGAAGTCTTTAAAAAAAGAGAGAGCCGCAGACAGTGAGAGAAAGCATGGAGGAAGGAATGACTCCTGAGCAGCAGGAGAAACCATTATGCAAGAAACTCCCCCAGCTCTGTGAGGAGTCCAGAGCCCTGAAAAGTAAAGACTGATTTGGCTACCCAGCTGTAAGGACTCCAGCAAAGATGCTACCCAGTCACTAGGGTTGCCAACTCTGACTGAAGCTTTCCATGAGATTTCCTCCCAACATTGCGTACTATCATTTTCTTAAAGTACCCTATTTAAAATCTCCGGGATCACTTTCAATAGTCACTGGAAGATCTGTGCTGATTCCAGGAAACTCCAGGCCAATCCTGGAGGGTTGGCAACCTTGCCAAGCACCCCTAAAGTAAGGTGGTGCCACAAACATTTTTGCTTTTTTCCCCTTTATTCCAGGGGGGCTTGTTTTGGGTTGAATCTGATCTTTTGTCCTACTCCCCTCCCTGACCTGTAAACAAAGTAAATAGGCTCCCAAGATGGGGTTTACTGCAAGGACTAGGAGGCTGTGACACCTGTAGTATGCCAATCCATTGTGACAACTGGGCATGGTGAGGGGCCTTAGCACACTTAGGGTAGTGACTCAGAGAGAGTATCTTGATACTTTTTGGCTTTACATTTAATTCCCATTGATTATGCATGGAATGATGAAATGGAGAGTATCTTTTATAAACTAAAATAAACAGACATGGTCTTTTTTTTTTAAGTGAAATTATGCTTAATAAATGAGAGAATGATATGGATTGGTATTTGTTTATACAACTAAGGAATACACTGCTATGAAAGAGTACAAATGGGAAAACCCAGAACATACCAATATAAGTGAAATAAGTCAAATGCAGCTACCAAAATCCTACATTCATTCCTAAGCAATCCCCATTGGAATGGGATCACATGGATGTGAGGGAACAATTTAATAATATAAGCAATGAATATTAAGCAAATAACACAAATATACAGAGGCAAGATAAGAAAGATGAAGGCACAAAATGAGCTGAGTCTTGCTAGAGACATAAAGGGTAACAAGAAGATATTCTACAAAAATATTACAAGAAAGAGGGAGACCAAGGACAGGGTAGGCCCACTGCTCAGTGAAGAAAGAGAAACAAAAAACAGGAAACTTGGAAATGGCAGAGGTGCTTACTGAATTATTTGTTTTGTTTTTTGTCAACAAGATTGAGGGTGACAGGATGCCTAACATAGTGAATGCTAGTGGGAATGGGGTAGAAGCTAAAATAAAAAAGAACAAGTTAAAAATTACTTAGAAAAGTTAGATGTCTTCAAGTCACCAGGGCCTGATGAAATGCATCCTAGAATACTTGAGGAGCTGATAGAGGAGGCATCTGAGCCTTTAGCTATCATCTTTGAAGAGTCATGGAAGTTGGGAGGATACCAGAAGACTGGAAAAGGGCAAATATAGTATCCATCTATAAAAAGGGAAAGAAGAGCAACCCAGGAAACTACAGACCAGTCAGTTTAACTTCTGTTCCCGGGAAGATAGTGGACCTAATAATTAAGGAATTCATCCGCAAACAACTGGAAGATAATAAGGTAACAGCCAGCATGGATGTGTAAAGAACAAATCACGTCAAACTAATTTGATAGCTTTCTTGTACAGGAAAACAAGTCTTGTGAATGAGGGAGAAGCGGTGGACGTGGTATACCTAGACTTTAGTAAGGCGTTTGATACGGTCTCGCATGATCTTCTTTTCAATAAACTAGGGAAATACAAGCTAGATGTGGCTACTATAAGGTGGGGGCATAACTGTCTGGATAACTATTCTCAGGGTACGTTTACAGTTGCACCCTAGTTCCAACTAGGGATACAAATGTAGGTGACCGAAATTTCTAATGAAGCACTGAATATAAATATCCCGTGCTTCATTAGCATAATCTCGCCCGTGAGCTACGTATTCCAATTGCCAGCTGATTTGAACCAGGAAGTGTGCTCCAGGCCGCATTAGTTTGAATCAAACCCCTTAGTTAAAACTAACATTACTCTTCAAAAAATGTTTGATTCGAAGTAACGCAGCCCGGAGCGCACTTCCTGGTTCGAATCAGCTGGCGATCGGAATAACGCGCGGGCAAGATTATGCTAATGTAGCGCGGGATATTTAAATCCCCTCTTCATTAGCAATTTCGGTCACCTACATTTGCATCCCTAGTTTGAAGTAGGGTGCAAGTGTAGACATACCCTCAGAGAGTAGTTATTTGTGGTTCACAATAACTAAAATGGTGTCATAACTCTATTATTATTACATTGTGTTGTGATAGTGCAGAATTAAGGTTGGTTGAGTACCATAACTATTTCTAACCTTAATGGCTACGTCTACACTGGCCCCTTTTCCGGAAGGGGCATGTTAATTTCAGCTATCGTAATAGGGAAATCTGCGGGGGATTTAAATATCCCCAGCAGCATTTAAATAAAAATGTCCGCCGCTTTTTTCCGGCTTTTAGAAAAGCCGGAAAAGAGCATCTACACTGGCCCCGATCCTCCGGAAAAAGCGCCCTTTTCCGGAGGATCTTATTCCTACTTTGAAGTTTGGAAAGTTTAGTTTGGAAAGGAGACGACTGAGTGGGGACATATAGTGGTTTTCAAGTATCTAAAAGGATGTTACAAGGAAAAGGGAGAAAAATTGTTCTCCTTAGCCTCTGATTATAGGACAAGAAGCAATGGGTTTAAATTGCAACAAGGAAGGTTTAGGTTTGACATTAGTAAAAAATTCCTAACTTTCAGGATGTTTAAACACTGGAATAAACTGTTTAGGGAGGTTGTAGAATCTCCATCACTGGAGATATTTATGAGCCGGTTAGACAGACATCTATCAGGGATGATACAGGTGGTGTTTTGTTCAGCCATGAGGGCAGGGGACTGGACTTGATCTCTTGAAGTCCCTTCCAGTTCTACTATTCTATGATTCTAATAACATTGCTTCCCAGGGCATGAATGTATTTAAAGCACATGTTTCTTATAAACAAAGAATAATGTCTTGTTGAGTTATAATGCCTTAGGACTAGGCTCATGACATCCTTACTAACATTGAAATATACCTTACTTCATAAGTAGCCCCTTTGATTTCATGTAAGAGAATGCAGTTTACTGTAGCTTTGTAAGGGTATCCTGATCTTTGAAGATACATTATGGAGAAAATATAGAAAAAGCAATAGTTATCTTAGTATCTAAGATCTTTGTACTCTTTCTTGAGTACCATGGCTAGCCATAAACATCAACAAAGAGAGATTCAATCTCTGATCTTGATTTTTATCTTAGGGAACATCGTAAACTCACTGTGCAGGAGATCAATGTTCTGATGTTTGATTTAGCAAGTCTAATATAGACCCGTAAATCAAACGCAGAGGGCTGCTCTGGCAGGCATCTGTATTTCTTGCAGTCACAGGCCTCCTGCGGTGGGGATGATGTCAAGCTTAGCTTAAGGTAAACTGACTCCAGTTATATATTCTACATAGCTGGAGTTGCGTACCTAAGCTGACCTTCCAGGTTAGTGTAGATTTGGCCTTAGACTGGTGCAAATTAGGAGTAACTCCACTGAAGCCAATGTGATTACAGCCAGAGAAAATGAAATCAGATCTAGGATATCTGCAGGCAGATTCTACCACAGTGACCTCAGTGAGATCAGGGTTAAACGTTAATATAGATTGAGAGAGAAAATGGCTCAATTATTTAAAGAGACAACATGATTATAAGGAGTAAGAATTTAACAACTTTATTTAGAAAACTCGTATTCTAATTTTAAACTTTTTATATAATTTTTCCCCGTATTTCCCTTGTAATATGAAGACAGCAGAAAAACCTTATTTCTATATTAAGGGAACGTTGATTACATTGTTTGAACAACTGCCCACAAGATGTTCTTGTATAATTATTAGTGGGTGTTTGCCTTGACCCCCGCCAGTCTAAATGTTAATATGAAGATGAACTGAGCTAATAAGTCTCTCAGTAGTCCCTGCTGTCAAAATATAAATACTTTATAATTCTCTAAATATTTTCACCTACCTGGCTGCAATCCTTCCAAGTTCCAGCAAACAAAGGCATACTTCTCTGGGCTGCTTGTGGAGGACTGCAAAAGCAAAATGAAAACAGAAAATATTTAAAATAAAGGGTATTTTAAAGGTCCCAGTAATAAACTGATCCCAGTTTACTAACGGCTGCCAATAGCATGTCAGTCCTGAATGCCTCTTTTAGAAATCTAATGACCGTTTTGCCATGACACTTTTGCCTAAATAAAGAGTTAAGGATTAAGACCCAAGATGTAATATTTCCAACTTCCACTGAATTTCCCTCAGGGTCCTCTCAAACTCTGTAAATTACCAAATAAATGGTCTATACAATTTGGTAAAATAATACATACTTATAACCATGGCTCAACGAACCATGGCGAGATCTACTCGCCAACCCCGCACCACGCAGGCGCGAGACCGGTACTGCGCATGCACGCAGTGCCGGTGAATGGGGCGACTGGCTGAAATCTACGCGCCACAGGTGAGTAGATATAGCAATTTGTCAAGCCCTGCTTATAACCAACCTTCTTATAATCAATATTTATTATTCAGAATGAGTAGGAAAGGTACCTCTAGCTTCTGTTTGTTGGGGCTGGAAATGGATGACAGAAAAGGGATCACTTCATGATTACCTCTTCTGTTCACTCCCTCTTGCGCACCTGACATTGGCCACTGTCAGAAGACAGGATACTGGGCTTGATGGATCTCTGGTGTGACCCAGTATGGCAGTTCTTATGTAACCATTATAACATTAAGGCTATGTCTACAATGCAGGCTTTTTGCGCAAGAACGGCTGTTCTTGAACAAAAACTTGCGGAGCGTCTACACTGCATGCATGTTCTTGCGCAAGTAAATTTACAGTAAGGCGTCGGAACAGAGGGTTTCTTGCGTAACAGTTATTCCTCTCCCCACAAGGAATAAGCCCTCTTGCACAAGAGCTCTTGTGCAAGAAGGCAGTGTGGACGAGCAGCAGGGGTTTCTTGCGCAAGGAACCCCTAAGGCTAAAATGGCCATCAAAGCTTTCTTGCGCAAGAGAACATCCACAGTGCAATGGACGCTCTTGGGCAAAAGCACATGTCTTGTGCAAAAGCACATGGCAGTGTGGACACGCTCTTGTGCATGTACTTTTGTGCAAGAACTCTTGCACAAAACTTTTCTTGCGCAAAAAGCATGCATTGTAGATGTAGCCTAAATGTAGGGCTCCTACAAACTAGTGAAGTGTCAAAGAATTCTTTAAGTCTAAAAAGATCATGTTCTATAAGAAACTTTTTCTCCCTCTGCTTAAATGAGCAAATATTAAACTATACTAGTAAAAACAAATCTATCAAATTGATCCTCCATTGCTTTTATACCCAAATAATCCCTCTGAATACAACTTGCATATAGGGTACTCAAGAAAGTCTTCCAGCTCTTGAAAAGAAAGTTACTTATCTACAAATCTTGTTCTCTGAAGAAATTGGTCTGCCTTGGCTCTGTTCATAACTTATACAGTTGTTATATGAACATTTTAGGGAATGTGCTAATTCATCTGTCTCAGCCAGGTGAAAAATGCACCCAAAAGGTGCCTCAGAGAGTAAAAATTTAAAGTCAAGGAAGTTTTCATCTTGTCCTACATGCTGTACACATGGTACTCTGAGTGGGAACTGCTGAAATAGATATTTGTCAATATAATTAATACAAAGTGGGATAATTTCTCAGCTGGTGTACATTGGTATAGCTCCATTTATATCAATGGAAGCACAACAATTTACTTCGACTGAGGATCTGTTCCGATGACTTCTGGTATTGTACTTTTAGCAATACTTTAGAAACATATATATATTCATTAGCCCCCTAGAATTTGAACCAAAAATATTTCTAAAAGGAAAACTGAACAACATAAAAATAAAGTAGTAAGGCACTGGGAATATAATTTCCATTCCACTGACATCTGTTATAAGACATATCACAGCTGTAAAAGACAACACAGATACTCCATCCTTCCTAATATTCGTCCTTGCCATAAACTAATTCATGTATGAAAGATTTAATCTTACTGAAAAACCAATATATTTAAAAAGTACACCCATGGTCCATACATACATTCTGCTTCTTCCCCCTGAAAACTGTTCCAACCTAGTGAATATATGAAATTAATCTTAATGCTAATATATATATATATGTATATATATATATATATACACACACACACACACACACAGGCAGAACAAAATGAATAAACACGGGAAAGATGGAAGGGGCAAATATTTTGACCTCCAGTTTACATCTCTACACATCTGATGTAGAGCTAACAGGAAAAAAACTGGATTTTGGGGGAAAGCATTCATAAATATAAGAAGGTTTGAATGATAGACATAAAGTTTCTGTCGATTCTCATAGTTCTACTTCTTAAATGAAAACAATGTGCTTTAGTGAATCTGGCTCACAAAGCTCTAGACACATTTCATGCATTTCACAATGAACAATGTCAAAGAGTGAAATCATTGTTAAAGCATGACAAGCTATACAGGCAATAACCAACCATAAAAACAAACATCTGGTAATGTGATAAGAATATGGTGATACAGTATTTCTAGCAGCAAAATGTTAGCATTCCTGAGGACTGTATCAGCATGCACATTCATGAACTCCAGGGGAAAACAAAAGCCATTCTATACAGAACACAGTACCCACTGAAAATTGTTTAGATTCTCAAACAGAACTCTTTTTTTTAAACAAATAGGCTTTTTTTTAAATGTGCTACTAGCTAACAAGGCAATGTGATCCAGAACTAAGACAGAGTTCTCAAAGTCCATTTCTACATCTGCTGCAAACCTCTTACGTGAACGTGAGAAAGTCTCTAAAGCCAAAATTTTCAGAAGTGAACAATGATTGTGGGGGGCCTTGATTTTTGGAAAGTCAGTTTGAGATGCCTTCTGTCTCAAAATGGAAGCACCCATATTATAATATCCACTTTTTGAAAGGTGACTGCTACTCTACTCATTTTCCCTTTGCAAAATTGAGAGAAGAACCCTTCTCTTTCTCACAGAGGTGCTGTAAAGCTAAATTCATTAGTGTTTGCAACATGCTTTAAACTCTTTGATGGAAAGGTGTGATAGAAGATGCGCAAATCTTTTGAACTTTTTACGCCTGTGTGATTTTCATTTATGTTATTCTTTGACAATGATGTAAGAGGGTATTTCAGAGTGCAAATGTGGAACTAAACAGGAAAACCGTGTGATTTTAAGGAAAATGCCAATGCATTGTCTGCACTAAAGCAAATTAGGAATCCTGTTTAATGTGTCTGCATTGAAGGGTTAAAAAGCAGTTTCTTGATACCAGTACCTATATATTCAGTAATGAATAATACAATTCATGGATTAGAGGAAATTCCTCTTTGGAGTGAGCGATTACAGACTCAGATGGAAATCTTACATCTGTACCTGTGGTATGCTGTTGCTTCCTGTGGGAACTATATTCATAATTTTCTGAATTACTTACTGGAATCTGAATTACAGTATGTTTCTAAATTATTACCAGTATCTTTAACTTTCTGACTTGAAAGGTTTCTTGGTCATTCAAACACTGCCTGGCAAATACAAGTTTGCTAAATACTGGATTTATTGTAATTATAGCAATAAACATGCATCTTGACAAAGAAAGCATCATGAGCAACGAAGTAACACTCAGGCTATGTCTATACTAAGACTTTTATCAGACGAGGCAATGCAAATGAAGCATGGATTAGCATTTTCTCGTGCTTCTTTTGCATACTCTCTTCCAATCTGTTTTTGCGCAAAAACAAGCAGTGCAGATGTTAAAAAAACCCCTTTTTGTGCAAGATCCTTATGTCTCAAAAAAGGGGGTTTTGAGCAAAAAAGAAACGTCCACACTACTTGCTTTTGTGCAAAAACCACTAGGGCAAAACAGATCGGAAAACAGTATGCAAATGAAGCATGAGAAAATGCTAATCTGTGCTTCATTTGCATTGCCTCTTCTGGCAAAAGTGTAGATGTAGCCTCAGTGGGCCACATTAACTCCCATTACAACTCCACCAATTTTTATAGAGTTACACTATAAATGACAGTTGTCCATTATGTATTCATTTAGGGTAAACTTCTCTTCTTATTTATAATACATGTCAATGTGGTTGCATGGATGTAAAAAAGGAGACGGTGCTGCCGATAATTTCCGGCTGACAATTCTGTAGATTCTTAAATACTTAAAATGTTACTTAGCTTAGATAGCCACTTCATCTCTCTCAAACAGTTTGTATGAATCACAAATGTGCATTTTTATCTGTTCTGCTACCTAAGTTTCCTCTTTTGCTTTTGATGTTCATTTACTTATCACATACATTCTATGTATTTCTAATAATAATTTGAAGGCAATGTTATTAAACAAGCACCAACACACTTATTATTATCACATAAATGTAACATTTATGATATCCAAAAAGTCTACATTAAAAACTGTTAAAGTTGCAAAATCAAGCACTCCTGTCTACCTATGCAAAGTTTATTTGACTCCTCTGTGCATTGGTATATGCCAAAGGCTTTAATTACATAATCACATACTACTTTTTTCCACAGGATCTCTGACTCGTTGAGTGCCCAGGAGGAAAAAAAAATCTGCCTCATTCAGTGTGTGGCTGGATTCATTTATTAACTGAATACCACCCAAAGCCTGCACTGAGTACAGAATTATTAGTTTCCTCCTGCTTTCTTTTGTGGTGCTGACATCTTAGCATATTACAAACATTAATGAATTTATCTTCACAACACCCATGTAAGGGAAGTTGGTATTATTATCATTTCCATTTTACACATGGAAATGGAGGCATAGAAATTAAAGCCAAAATTTACAACTAATTAGGGTAAGTTTCAAAGCAGGTAACATTTCATAGTTCCCACTGCTCTCAGATACAGTTGCGAGTGCTCTACATTACCACAGATCAGACCCCAGTGTCTCAAGTCAGACATCCAAAAAAATGAATATAGAGTGACTGCCTGTGAAAATTTTGGTTTCAGTGATTTTCTGAACATTTTGACAAAGCAAAAATAAAAGAGTTCTCCATGAT